CACATTCGGGTCTATAATCTCACATAATAATAATAATAATAATAATAATAATAATAATAATAATAATAATAATAATAATAATAATAATAATAATGATGATACGAAAATTGATGATTTTCACTGCTTTTCTATTCCTTTTGTGTACCTGCATGATATTATTATTCAATGTAAGAACATTATTCCGAATCATTTTTTTGGGTCCCCAAATATGCCCATCATTTTGTATGATTAGGGGTGAAAACATGACTGGCTTCTATCAATATCTTTCTCGCATCATAGTGTGGCAAACAAAATATTTGTATACAAATAGTAGAGATGATCGATTGAGTGGATGAGACGGGCACTAAATAATAGATTTGGGTACTACAAATTTGTACTGCGATGTTTTTTAAATGCAGTAACGGAAACTCTCTGGGCGACTCTAACCAAAGTCTCTTTATTCCAGGTTCTTATGGTAGTCTTCGTGCTTGGAGAGATGCCGCGCTGTATCTATCTGAAAGCTGGCATTCAGGAGTGTGACAGATTTCTACCACAGTAGGATTAAGTCTTATTCCTGTTTTCCCGTCGTCGACTGCACCGTCGACTGGGTCGTCCAGTAGTCGCCGACAGCGTTGTCGTTCTGGGTCACTGACTGGGTTGCAGAGTTGGATTTTAAATAAGTATTGGATGAGTAACTTCTTGATATAAGGTATCTAATCTGAGACTAGTATTTTTATTGAGGTCCAATCTATATAAAGTAGAGCAAAACGTGTACTATTTTCCACAGGAGTGTGCCGTTTTATCAATAAAGCATGATTTTTCTGGCAACACGAAATCACCTTAACGGTATTATAAATTAACACAATACTGTTAAGGTGATTTCATGTCACAATTTTCATCATGCTCTGTTGATAAAACTGCAGACTCCCGTGTTCTTTCAGTCAATGTATCCTTTATAATCGAGAACTATGTTATGCATGCGAGAATGAAGTTTCTTCATTGTTGAAAAACAAATCGCCATTTAATATATATTTTATAATGAAACAAACAGCAAACCTCAGCCAAGGGTTGAAACAAAGATCATCTTGAGTCAAGGTAAAGTTATTAACAAAAGAAAGGACACACACACACAAAATAAGGTGTACACATTGCTATGATTCAAATTTAAATGATATTAAGAAATATTAGCTTTACATAATGTTCAACCAAGACCTTTTCATTTTGTATTATACTCAGTAGGGAATAGTAGCAGAATCCTCAAGACATTGTGTTCAATTTTCCTTGTACTGACAGTTTGTCAAAGTTCTGTCGAGATCAATTTTCTGCTAAAAGTGGCAAAATGTTTATTGCTTATGTTAATAAAAAAAAAAAAGTTAACCAAGTAGGGCTTAGCTCAAACTGGTATTAGTGTCATGTGAACTTCCTGTGTTCATAACCAACAACATACTTCCTTTTTTCTTAATATCAATTTAATAACCATTCTTATAAATGCATGGTATTCAACCATTGTTTTGTTCCAAAAATAATCAACGTAATATGTTGTATGACCGATATATTTGCATATAGCTAGCCAGTCATTACTCCACTATTACTCATTTTTGCAGGTTTGCTAAGCAAGTCGGACCTTTACATTGATGATACATATATGTGTGGTTAACATTTGTGTTCAACCCTGTTTAGTTTCTCAGAAGCGATTACACTGCATTTAGTAACTTATATGAAGAAGATTCACGCATTGTTTATGGAGAAAACCAGGTCAATGGGGACCTCATTTAAATCCTGTGACTGGTGTTAAGTCATGACTTAATCATGTCCTCAATCATGAAACTGATGAAAATTTGTCGTGGCTTGTGTAGCGGTGACATACCTTAACTTATAGTTTATGCAATTAGACAAATTGCTGTGCGTTATGCAGCTTCACATAAAAGATGGGGCATATAAATTGACATGTACACAAGTCATACCATATATCACTTAATTTCCATTTTTTTTTAAAAAAGTATTGTCAGTCATGTGTACTTCATTGCCAATGATTGAAGTTTTGTAATTGATATGTGGATGGGTCATTTAACTTGAAATGTAGATGTATTGTGTGATGACATGTGGCTGTGACACATAACATGGCATGCAGATGTGCCATGCAACTTAACATGTAAATGTGTTGTGTAACTTGACATAGATGCATTAAGACAAAGAACACATTAGAACAGAACATTTATTTTAGCATTCACTTACAAATGCAAAAGCAATTTATAGCTACATGCATGAGAATGCAAATGCATCTTATTGCTAAGGATAAACACACTTTAATTGATTTTTAAATATAAAATGACTTCGGTGAAGAAAATACAATTTGCAGAAGCAGCACAGATAAGTCTTGTAATACATTTTTTACACAGCCATTCTTGGCACTTCCCAATTATAACCATTTCTATATTCAAAGTATACAATACTTTTCTAGATCTACTTTGTGCAAATTTAAAACTAGCTTAATTTATTAGATCCAGCTACACTTCAAATGACAAATATCCTAGCTTGTAGGATAACCTCACAGTAGATATCTATTTTTGCTTAAACTGATCTAAACTATGTCACATTTCATTAACGATATAGAATTGATTTTAACATATGTATGAAAATCATAATTCATCTAAACAGGGATGTTACTTTAAATACCTCCACCCCCAGACCAAGGTTTAGGTTATCATCTTCTCTTTTTAAAATATAGCACGAGTTGGAAAATCTAACTGTACTTACCAATATGCAAGTCAGAAATTTTAAAAGGTGCATTTTCCTAATTTCCAGAGGGCATCTCCCCAGTTTACGTTAGAAAATGTCCTAATTTTGTATATATTTTTCATGTGTGGAGTACCAGAATAATTGTACTATTACAGGTAGACCAATAATTTTGTGTAAATTAAAAAGAAGTAAAATCCCTTTAACACTTGGGTAATTTTACATTCGTAGCAGTGAACCGTTTATATATATATATTGATTATTTTGCAACTGGCTCATCATCTTATGAATTATCAATTTCATGGGTACCATATGTGTTTTAAAAATTCTCTAAAAGGTTATTGCACACAATTTACTAGATGAATTACTTTTGCTTCGATAGTATTTATTAATGTCCCTCCAAAGGCTTCTGGGATTTGGAAATATTAACTTTCATCAAACCTACTATTGACTTTCCTCTTGTTTTGATGACAGTGTGTAGCTATTTTCTTTCTAAACATAGTATGTGTACTTCCCAAAATAAAATTAGAAAACCTGATCATCACTGAATTCATCTTTGTTTTCTACACTGCCGATATGTTAAATATGCACCATTGCATATCTCTCCAACAACCATGATAGAAATGAGTTCTTTTTATCTCGTATTAGTTTGTCAGAGTTTGTTTAATATCGCTGTTAGTAGAAATTTCCAATACTTATAAATTAGAATCTGTTTTCTGACATATTAAAATCCAGTAGTGTAAGATTACAAAACTCACCAAAGGGCAGTATATAAAACTCTGTCAGAGTTATCAAATTTTGATAGGATAGAATAAAAGAACCAATATGATCCCCAATTGGAGGAATAGCTTGATACAAAGATTGATCATGAAACTCGATTTGCGTGTAATTTGGATTTTTAACGTAGCTTTAACAATTTTTCAGTCATCGATATGATATCTGCAGTGTATAAGTTTATTCCTCAGACAAGTAATATCATATTCCACCCAGTCACATTATCCTCACACCATATTCGGATATCATTAACTCGAGAGTAGCATTATCATAGTTTCTAGAATGGCTACTGTGGTGGTCATAATGAATGACCAAGCTGAACCATTTTCATCCAGGAAAATCCCCTATAGATACGACTTTTTATTCATCAGGAACAACATTAACATGATTTTTAAAATGACTCCTGAGAGGGACATCAGATTGGCTAAAATTTTCATTTAGACCCAAGCTGACATTGTAAGAATTATAACAAAACCCATGTTGACATCATCCATTCAGGAGGAGTAGAAATAAGATTTTAAATATCAATGCTGTAGGGGCCCTAATGAATGTTCATACGGCACCATTTTCATTCTGGACCCAACTAGACTATGGGCTGAATGCTTGTGTAAAACTTCACGGCAAACATCCAAGTGGTTTAGAAAGAGTAGCAATAACAAACGTGATAAATGAAATGAATTGCAAGATGTATCTCAGATAACAGGTGATTTTATGACCAGTTTCTGTTCTTGACCCTAACTGTATCCATATTACGTAAAATCTATCATTTTTACTTTGAAATGACAATGCAATCAAGGCACTTCTATATCAGTGTGTGACCATTTTGTGTTGGAATGATTTCACACAACAACTTAGTAATGGGTGATAATGCAGCGTAATTTTAGACCTTCAAACTTCTCATAACTCAGTATTTTTAAAAGTAAATTTTTGGGAACTTAATATTTTACCAGAGAAATGGATTTTGAATACATACAGAATGGTTCTACAAAATTTCAGAAAAAAGTTGTTTTGAAGATTGTCTCTTTAACTGAGCTTTAATTAAATTGAAGTTGAACATGAAAAGGTAACTTTTACAAAGTGAAAATGGCTTTACATAGTGTTTGTGCATCAGTTTCATACCAATAGTTTCTGTAAGGGTTATTTAGTTAATGACATTTTGAATGGTATTATTTCAAAATGTTAGTCTGCACTTTAAAGATGAGTCATGCAATCATGCAAAGTGCATAGAGTTTCATTCATAAAGTTTCAAGGTTGTGTGTGTGTATATTTGTGCATGCATGATTTAGATTTTTAATGTAGCTTTAACAATGTTTCAGTCCTATCACTACGATGTCTGCACTGTGCTGGTTATAGTGATGTCCAGTACTGGGGCATCATACCGCGAACATGTGGCATGATGTCCCACCCAGTCATATTATCCTGACACCAGGTCAACCATTCCCAACACTTACCTCTTAACACTGAGTGCCAAGCGAGTCAGCTGTTTGTAGCATTTTTTAAAGTCTTTGGTATGACTCAGCCAGGGTTTGAACCCATGACCTCCCACATCCCAGGCGGATGCTCCAACCACTAGGCCACTGGAGCGGTTAGGTTTCAAGGTGATATGTACTATAGTTATGATAAACATCTCATAATCCAACAAGGATACTATTTCTTGATAATGATGGATGTGGTTTAAAATTGCAACCGGCTTATTTCCAGATTAGCCAGTGTAAATCAGCTGATTTGTTTATGATAGAGTATTTAAAAATACTAAGAACGATTCACTGCAGAATGTAATCTTGCTGCTGCATGTTATCAAGCTATACAAGTGAATTATTACATGAAATTTGACATTCACAGCAGTACTATTGATTTTGGAAGAGTTATAAAACGATGGATTCATTTATTTAATTATTCATTGATTGAAACTATCATTCATTTAAAGGTAATTTAGACCTCTATAAAGATAACTGCTGATTGGAATTGCCACGAATTCAAGGAGATTTTGGGATTCTATCAGCATTTTTTTCTGTACTGTTGACACATCAGTACAGTAGCAACATGATTCTTAATACCTTTGTACCTAATTCAGATTACTTGAAACTATTAATATTGATAAAACTTTTATGATTTTATGAATTCATTCACCATACTGTTAAGATAATTTTAATTCTTCATTTTGCATTCTAGGGAAATAAATTATTTCAATTATATAAAACTTATTGGCTTTGCTATTTCTTGTTATGCAGTTCAAGTTTTAACAATAGATGTCCCACTTTTGTATGAATAATCAATTTCAACACACATTTTGATTGGTTAATCCCCGACAAAATATGCCTACACCAACCAGCAACCATATATTAGCTTTGTTGAAACTACCACTTCCAAAAAATCCATCAACATCTCACATTTTAAAACACCAATTTAGAAAGATAGAGAGAAAATATTCATATGTAAAAACAAAACAAAAAACCCAAATAAATGAACCAAAGACATTGTAAAACCAATGTTGTTTTATTATTCAAAACATGTGGAAACACAAATTGCTATTATTTTAAAGCAACACTTAACTAATGAAATGAAAGCTACAACTCTACTGTTAGACAGTATGTACATATATAGTTTTATCCAGTGCAAGTTCTAATATGAAGATACTGAATCACTTTCTACTGTGATTGTGATTAAAAATAAAGAAAAAAAAACAACAAAAAACATCCATCCCAAACACACCATTCTCTCCACTTGAAGAAAAAAAAACAACTTTGAAAGGATCCACATTTTTATCTAACTGCTCTAAAGAGCTCAGACTTTTCCAAACAAATGAATATTTTTGTAAAGTCTGTATAATATAAAAACATTTAAGCCCAGAAATATTAACTTGAAACTACTGTACACATAATCTCCTAGAGTATTATGAACGATAGATTATATGCCTGCCTTGTATTTGGTATTCCTGAATGTCAGCAATAGTAGTGCATGGTTAACTCTGGAGATTCCTGACTAATGGGTCTCACTGACCACCTTCTTGAAACTAACATGCAGAAAAAATCTAAATGTTTCTTTCTTAGTCTAAGTGTAAGTCATCCTAAACATTTGGTGAATAAATCTAGAAAAAGTTATGCAAAACTATTTTTTTAAAGTGACCATGTCTGTAATCATTTACCTTGTGATTTCCAAATCAATGAGCCTCTTTTTTGTTTTAAACCTTAATTGCAAACTTTCCACACAATTTGGTCAAGGTATTATTATACAAAACTTTGTTCTTCTTTCAGTCAGTAACCTTGATCATTGGATTGCAAAATAAACAGGCTTCTTTCTTACCCAAAGTGCAATTCATCTGCAAACTATGCTGATGGAACATGGTAAAAAGACTTGTTCTTAAAAACTGAAACCATTTTCCAGTTTTAACTGACATCTTCCTTTTTCCAAGTACAGGCCATCCATAAAGATGTTAAGGTCTGTGATATATATATAACAAATGGATGACCATTTTTCACTTTAGACCTTCCAATCCCTAAATGCAAGCCATCCAAAGTTTCCTAAAGGCCGATATTGTACAACCAAGATGTTCTGCAGAAGCAAGAAAGGTGAAATAGATGTACAAATTAACATATAGACAGAAATATGTACAAACATTACAGAAAAGGCTCAAAACAATGCACATGACAATGATGTCATGTATGTAGACCAAGAGGTATCACATGAGACCAATAGAGACCAAAAAAATATGTGCATCTTAAGTTGGCCATCCATCTCCTATTTTTAACTGCCAACACTAGCACTTTTTTCCCCACTGGATCAAAATAAAAATAATGAAAGAAAAAACCCTAACATTGTTTGTGCATCTAACTGAGCCAGTTTTCCACAGCACTAGAAGTGCTTAGCACATTATATATACTAATCATTATAATATAAATAATGTTAAAAGAAAAGCCAAGCAACCTACCCTAATTTTAAAACAAGTGAAATATCCAACAGGAAATAATTTTTTTTGCTTAATCTTAAACAAATCTAAAGTTAAAGAATGGAAAGGAAAGGGTGTTAAAATTCAAGTGTGACCTTGACCATAAAAACTGGAATTTCAAAGTGGTTAAAAATTTATGAAGATATATGTTAGTATACCTAATTTTATACCCTGGTCACAAAATTGCTGAGTGGAAGAAAAAAACAAAACAAACCATTTAATATACTGAACAGCTGAAAGTGATGGAAAAAAATAACACTGACCGTAAAGATATAAATCCTAAACATTTTCTAGTGTGATACTGTGATACCTTATTTGAAATGACTTTTAAGGTGAAAGAGAAGAAAGGAAATTGTAATGAAAAAAATGAAAGTATTGAGCCAAGAGCTCACCTTGAAGATGGAACCTCCAACATGGAAGTCAACACATCAAATAGTCATGATGTGTACATATACGAGTTCAATCTATTAATCCAAATCAGTTGTAAAGATGGAGCACAATGAAAAGTGTGATGAAAAAAAAAATTAGCCATGACCTTGACAATATGCCTCCAATGGGGTACATGACACCTTTTAGTCGTAATGATATATCCCTTAATATGAAACAGCTTTCAAAGTGTAAGGAAATCACAAATGACAAATAATAAAAAATTATTGTGCAGTGAACTTGACCCTGACAATGATTATATACAAGTATAAAAAAGCTTCATTCTTTACTCACAAATTGATTTTAAGTCATACAGTGGATACAAAAATTGTAAAACAAAGACAGAAAAAAATCATGGATACTTTACTCACAAATGGATTTTAAGTCATACAGTGGATACAAAATTGTAACATACAGACAAAAAAAATCATGAATATGTTTTCTCTTACTTTTTCTCAAAAACAATAATTAACTTTAATTCTGAAAATATGGGTGGAAAGATGATGTGCATAAGAGCCTGGCTCATCAAACCTTGTCAGGAAAGTAACCTTGGTTTTAGTATAACTTAAATCTAAATGAAAACATTAGGATCATAGCAAGAACATTAAAAGTCATTAAAAAATAAAGTTAAATCAAAACCAGATTTTGATGTCAAGATTTTGCCTGCATGTTTGTTGAAGGATTTGAGTGAAATGCCTATTGGTACTAATAATTTAACATTAAAAATATGTTTATAAAGAACACACTTCCTTGTTATGCACAACAGACAATTGATTGTATCATGTAAAAAATTAATGGCGTTCTTCCTGCATTAGTTCAAGCCAAATAACCAAAGGCTGTTCTTAATTCAAGTCTGATTTTATATATGCAGCTCTATCAACCCAAAAAAATAATTATACAGAGAATATTGTTTTGGTTTTACATTTCTCACATCTCTCACAGTTTACCTGTTAGTTTTATCCAGATGTTTTCTCCTAAGGCCTTTCAAGATTTTGTAGAGAAGTGTATCTTCACCTTTTTAATCCTTGCTTTAAACTTCCTTGGTCTCATTAGACATCCCATCATGTCTCTTTAAACTTGCCTAATCTTAGAAAATTGAAAATTAGTCTTATGAAGAATTTCTGTAAAAGAAAAAAAAATTGCTCTTCTCCAGTGTACAAGCTCTCTCAGAACATTCAAAATTGCTCATATCTCACAGCTCTTTTTCAAGTTTATCCAAAATTAGTTAATTCTAACCTCCACTAGATCAAGATCAGATTTATTAATCTCACAATTAGCTGCTACTGACTATCTTTATCTTATATAAACAACACTCCATTAAATGATCATTAAGATTAATTGGTCTCTCCATTCTTTCTCTTCATAACTTTTATATCCTTCTCCAGATTTCAACCTAAATGTTCTTTGACCAGCATTCCTACCTTTCCTAACAAATACATATCACTCCAACATACACAACCTGCTAACTACTCATTTCTCATTTATGTACACCTTCCCTATCTATGATCTAACAATGTGTACATTTGTTATCTCACATTACAATGAAAGAAAAGGACAGGAGCTGTATACTGAATCATCTATTAAAAGCATTGCTGTCAAATGTGTGACATTAACCCCAAAGTAAAAAAAAGTTAGGCAAGCATGCTCCAAATAAACCATCTTAGGTTGATAATGGAATGTATGAAAATATACATCAAAAGGTTTAGGAAATGTGCAAATGAAACAACCTAAAACTTGAATATAGATTTTCTATGAGTGTGACCTTGAACCCAGGGTGAAGTGGCAAGAATGCATGTCACCAAATGCAGTTTAAAATTTATAATAATTCGTCCCAATTGTGAAGAAAATCCATTCATTGGTTTAGAACATGCAAAAAGAGAAATTTAACTAAAACCATAATACACATTTTCTATGACAATGACCTTGATCCTGAGGTCCAAAAGCTACATGTGCATTCACCGAAATAATTTCCTTGGCATTGTATAACATTTCATCCCAAATATAGAAAAAAACATCCATGGTTTTCGAAAAAATAAAGGCAAATAAAAAAACCCTTAACAAATATCTTCAATTAAAATTTTCTATAACAGTGACGCTGACCTCAAGGACACAGCTAAAAGTGTTTTGGAATGAATGGTCATAATTAAATATAATTACTGCCAAAATATGAAGCTTTTTCAAGAGATTTATGAAATAGTAAGTTTTTTTAAAA